ATTTAACCAGTGTAGGGTAAGTAATAAACGTTACAACCATTTATTCTTAAGATCGTTTTAGATAGCAGTTTTAGGTTAGTTGTGAACTCTGAAAACTAGCCAAGTAGAAATGACATAAACACAATTTAGAAAGATTGCATAAGTTGAAATTTCAGTGTAGGAAAAGAGGAAACAGTTTTATTTAGCACTGGGATGGTCTTAGTGATTTTTCTGAATCAATAAAATAGCAACCGTTTGTAGAAATTTTGCAGGTAGAAACAATTAGACCCCCTTTAAAATCAGAATATTTTACTATGTGGTCCTTGTGGCATAAAATCAAAATTTAGCATTTATCTCTGCATATTAACGTTAGTGTATTTTCCCACTGAGGAGATCTGAATCATTTTCTAATTAATTGGTGTAAGTGCTCGAGAACAGTGTTTCTAATTTCACCGGTCAATTTTTTTTTTTATTGGGGAAAAGGAAGAGTAGCAGATACAGGAAATACTTTTTAAAAGGAAAAAAGAAAGATAAAAGAAGTAAGGCGGCCTCCCAGGGTCCGGGGGTCCGGGGCTACTCGAGGACTGGAGCAGGGGTCGGTGATCCGGGTCAAGGCCCTGTGCTCTGCTCGGGGTTGGCAAGTGGCGTACTGTAATTATGATGGATTTCAGTTTTGAAAAGCTTGTGAACAGCCGGAAAGAAGGGGTCAGGGTACCCAAATCGATCTCCCCACAGCTCATCTCCACCCTGAGGTCCTTGGTGGTAGATGGCAAAGGACTCGGGCCGGGCTTGCAGCACTGCCTCCTACTTTCCTAGGTGTTTACTGGTGGCGCCCAGGGGCGCCGGGAGTAATGGTAAGCAGGCCCCTAGGACATCGCCGGCCGCCCGGGCTCTGGCTGTTGAGCAGGAAGGTCCGTGGGGAAGGGCGTGGGCAGGGAAGCGGGCCGGTGTGGTCAGTACCAGCACCGTGGGGTGCGGGGGTGGGGTGGGGTGGTCGGTGGGGAGCCACGGTAGTGGGGCGCGGTCTCACCCGCCTTTCGTCCCCGCTCTCACCGCAGACCTGCTGGAGGACCTGCCCGAGAGTCGCGAGTGCGTGAACTGCGGCTCCATCCAGACGCCGCTGTGGCGGCGGGACGGC